CTCTCATAACTTACGAGTATACGACCGCCGATAGAAGCAATGCAAAGGAATTTAAAACAACGGAAGACAGAACGTATCTCCTCTCGCCTATCCCTTTTTCGTTGCTAACCAGAACGTCTATCATGGAATATCCGGAGAACGAGGACTCAGAGCCAATATAGAAGGGAAGGGTTATTCTGAGTTTGGACGTTGACCAGGCCGTCGCCGCTGACGGGTGTTAGCTCAGGTGAAACCGAAATGGACAACGGGGATTTGATATGACTATACCCTCTGCCCTGTCCCCCGAGAAATGAACTATCTGAAGGACTGAATCGCTCTGCCGTCACCAGTAGACTGTGCTGTACTTACAGGCGACAGATCAGATGAACAGGATGGAGGAGACGAGTAAGCCATACCTCGTTTCCTGTCTTCTTGATCCACTTGATTTTTCATGCCTTGGCAAGCGTCAATTGCTTATAGGAAATCGATGAATCCTCGTTGAACCGAACATAGAAGCATCGGTGGTAGTCCAGACGGGGTCAAAGCGCCTATCTAAGGATATGCCAAGCATTCAAGCCTTAAACGGTAGGTAAATTACAAACATGTTTCCTCCACGATCCCAGCAGTATAGGTACCGGGATAATGAGCGCTCAAAGAAAGCAAGAAGCCTGGAATGTGTCTAGACTTTTGAGGATGTCAACGGCACGTTGCTAACACGTTGTGTCCATTGATATAACTTGGATATGACTGTGAGTAGATTCCTTTCTCTCAACGCCCACTTCCTTTGGAACGTACTACCCAACTTGAAGTTCGAAGCTTCGTGCCCCACGGACTACTCTCTACACATCCTTCCTGTGAGTTTACGCCCTCGTCGATGCCAGATGGTGACTTACCCTACCCCGAAGCGCTTGACTTATAACCACACCCCGACCACGTTTTCCCTACTATCGAACGTGAGTATGCGTTAGACAAAGCGCTCAACGTTCTCCTCTGACCCCCAGCCCCAGCCCCCTCGAAGTTCCATCGCCCCGTTCTCACAAGACTGACCGAACAACTTTGTGGACCTCTAAATTGTGAGCCTTTTCGATCATAATGAATACCGACTTACTGATGGATGTCAAGCGCTTTTCTAACACAACATGCTCACCTTCCTCCTCGGTGCTACACTCGCCTATATGCGGGTCGGCGCTATTCCCCTCTCATCTGGTCTGGCCATCGATGCTTCTACCATTGGTGCTGTTGTATCGGGGATCGCCTCACGATGTGACTGTTCTGGTTCTGGTGCGGACGGACGTACGATATACGACATCGTGAAAAGTTGCCTATTCACCATTGCGGCTTGCGTCTACCGGGCGGTTCATCAGAATATTCCGGATCCGGAACTTGGGTTTTGGGGAAGGTTGAGGGTGACGATGAAAGTGACGCTTTATGCGTTGATAGCCCCGGAGTTGATTATTTGGTGGGCTATGAGGCAGTGGTTCGGGGCGAGAAAGGCGGCGCATTGGATGAACCTCAGGAGGGGGGAACATCGTAAGTTCTGGCTTGCTATAATTCAGCAGATGTTTATGGATGAGCAGGGTTGAACTGGACCAAGGTTCACGGTCAATTTGCACAAATGGGAGGGTTTGCACGAAAGGACGACAAACGAGTGCTCTACCCGTTTACTCTGTGGCTACTGCTTCGAGATGGTCAAATCGACATCGAGGAACTTCAACTTACGGAAAAGGAGATTCAAGATAAGAGTAAAGGCGATATCTTATCAAAGACTCTTGTTGCATTCCAAACGACGTGGTTTGTATTCGAATGCATAGCCCGTCTGCAGCAGGGCCTTCCCCTGATCGAACTCGAGGTCGTCACTTTCGCGTTCGCCACGCTAAATATCATCACGTACGGACTTTGGTGGTATAAACCTCTCAACGTCCTTTGCCCTATCTATATTCACGTCCGCCCCGAAGTATCCGACCCACCACCCAATGCCGAAGTGGCAAGTCCCAGGGAAGAGGCAGTTGGAGGAGGAGAGACAAACAAGACGGAGCTAATGGACGGAGGGTTGAGTCAGGTCCAGGTGGAACCGTTATCAGCATCCAACGCAGTTGCCTGGGTGACGAGTCCTGGGAGATGGGCCGTGGTTGGAGAGACGGAGAGGACAAACAAGGCAGAGAGTGGAGAAGGGTCCGAGAAGACGCCAATGGGAATAGTGGGGAGAATCGTCGCTGTGCTCAAGAAGGACATTAAGGAAGCCGGGTGGTGGTGGATGCTCTGGAAACGGCTCATCAAACAACCGTTTGTAGCCGTGGTTTGGCCACTCAAGGAGCTCCTCGATTACGGATTCTCTGACAATGAGGCTACACATGTTGCGACTTTTTATGCACTGGTAATTTCCGGCCGTGATGAGACTTGGGTGCATGGGCTGAGTTCGTTCATCGGAATCATTTTTGGGGCCATCCATTTCCTTTCATGGCACTCCACGCTTCCGACACACGTCGAATTGCTTCTCTGGAGAACTTCTTCGGTCGCCTTGGTTGTCCCGCCCTTCTTCCTGCTGCTTCGGATACTTTCCCTTCACACCCCGCTATGGAGACTGCGAACCCTCTTTACGTACATCTCCTACTTTGTTAGTCCCATTCCTTACATCCTCGCTCGCTTTTGCGTTCTCGTCCTTGCCTTCCTTACCCTCCACGACCTCCCTTCTGGTGCGCTTGCAAATGTCTCTTGGACTTCTTATATTCCTCATCTCTAATCCATGCATCGCTGGACGTTCCTCAACCATTCGGATTCTCTGTATATCATTGTCACGTAGATTCCAGACTTGCGCACCATACATACACGATTGAACCACATTCCCAGCTGCTTTGTATTCCATATAGCACTCATCCTCATCGGCATTCATTTGCATCTGATTCGAGCTGTTAATTTGGGATCCGCTGGTTGCACGGCTGTTGAATTGGACGAAAAAGGTCAGGTGCAAGATGGTAACCACGACAGGACGCCAAGACACACCAACCGGTGAATAATTCGCAATATCCATGCTGAGTCAATACACGAGTTCATTCAGCAAAAAAGATAAACCCATGAGACACTAAGGACAAGAATCAATCGATGAGAAAGTAGCGACGGACCTTCAGCCTATACCCACGATTGAGTCCGGACCTCTGAACGAATGATTTCGAGTATGAGTTCCGCATATTCTCATGGTCTCGGAGGAGCGGGGATTGCATACATTGGTGAGGGTCGACAACGACGTTGGAGCATCGGTGGTGAGGGCCGTTAGTCGAGATAAGTTTGATAGTTATAACACCTATCAACGTACCATGGGTGAACGTGTTCTGCAACTTCGAAGGAGGCTCAGGAGATCCGGGTGATTTGGGGAGCCCTATCATGTTCGTTGAGAGATGGGTAAAGGGAGATGCGACATTCTCGCGAGATGAGTTCGATCCAGATGGTTTTGAGTCCAGAGAACTAGATTAGTTATGGTTGGGACACCACATTATGAAGAGATGTCGAACCTATTTCCCGTACACTTTGAGGGAATTGAGTTGCCTGAAGAGGATATTTTCGAGAAGGCGGAATCCTTTGAACAGCCAGTGTCCGGAATACTTTGGGAATGAGCCTTCGATAAAATATGATGGTCAAGATTATCGTTCGAGCGGGTTGGAGTGACATACCTCAGGCTGTCATGAACTCGTTTCGCTACCAGGATCAGGTCGACAACATTTCCACCGATGTCCTTTAGCCTCAGTTCGAGAGCGAGTACCGTTCGTGGAAATGACGGAAAGCGCACCTGAATGTTTGAACTCCCCGACAAAACCAAACACAGACCTCTTCGTCTACCGTTTCTACTTACCCACGCACGTTTCTACAACTCCATCACTTCACACCTCATCCTCCTCTCCATCATGTCGGACCCAATCCTCCCACCCGAAATAGAATACACGATCTTCATGGACGCACTTGCCATCAAAGGCACCAGTGAAAGTCCCCGTAATCTCCTCTTGGTGGCAAAACGAGTCCACACATGGTACGTCAACCCATTCTCCTCTACATAACCACCTCGACGATCAACTCATCATGCATCATGCTCACTTAAAGGCTCATCCCAAAACTAACGGAAACATTCGCCATCCGCAAATTCGCACCACCTCAAAACTACCCAGGCCCCTCAGGCTGGTCCATCGATACCCTCATAACACACGGCATTCACACTCGAAATCTCTTCATTTGGACCTCCCCATACCCTTCCTCAGATTGCTACGATCCTCTAGCTGCCAAATACATCTCACTCTGTCCAAACCTAACCAACCTCGTCCTCTGGTCAGCTCATTCCATGGAAATACCATACGCCCAACTCAACGAGATCGCACATCTCCATTCTCTAACCCACCTCTCAATCAATCTGAAGAAAATCCCAAGCTTAGCTTGGGAGAACTCCGAACTCCTCCGACTTTTCGAGAAGATTACACACCTGCACAATGTGGCGATTATAGAATCCTCAAAGGATATCACCTTGTTCAACCACTTTACATCTCTTACACATCTCACATTCCCAGACCTGAGTGACGAAACTCTCATCCCTCTTTTTTTGACGAGACTCCCTACGTTAGAAGCACTGATCGTTTTAACAGATCATCCCAATCATTTTAGCAGAATTTCGGTTAGACATGATTGTCAATGGAGTGTGGACGATCCAAGGATCGTGAAGATCGCCTGTCAGTCTTATGCTGACAAGGAGTTGGATGAGTGGCTATTGGAGGTCCAGGAACGACGGGGTATCTGGGGATTAGCAGATCGGGCAATTCGAGAACGTCAGAAGCAAAAAGGGCTGTCCGTAGTTGCTGAGGAAGATAAATGAATGCGCTCACCGAGACAAAATACAATATACCTCCTACACGTAGTAAATGTATGCAGGAGACGCTCATCTAACTCGACGAAATCTACGGTATCTACCTCGAGATCATGCTTGCATCACAAATTTCATTCAAAACACCCGCCATCCCGAAAAAAAAACTTACCGAATCTCATAGGACACCAAGAGGGATTCGAACCCTCGATTCTTAAGACGCATAGTCCTATGCGCTCTCAATAGTGATTCCACTTGACCATCAGTGTTCAGATGTGTGGGTGAGATTGACACAAAAAAGGTTACGCTGTCAGGCCGCAGTCTTCGCTGTAGAGAAATGAGATATGACTGAAGGAGTACCATGCTCATGGTGGTAGATATCCCAACATTGACGGGATAGTTGGTAGCTATGATATATAAGTTGGGAAAAACGGGCCTCGAAGAGGTATGGTGGAGGTAATCGAACCTTGGGCGATACTACCGTCCATTTACAAAAGAAAGGGTAATAAACCCAGCGAAAACGAAACCAAAACACAGAACAAAACCCAATCACAGATGCGGAATGTAGGATGTCCAGGATATACTGTCAAAGGCGCTGAGAGGGAGATCGTGAAGAGTAAGGAACGCAAGTCCAAGTACACAGAACCGAGCCAGGATGTACGGAATAGGACTAACGTAGATTGAGAAAACGTCGAGACATTTCGACAAAAGTGCAGCCAGCTTCTGCGACCGGGTTCTCGGTATCGGGTTATGATGGAGCACCTGGAACCGGAGTCGAACTATAAGGCTTCGGGAAAGCAGGAGGAAGGGTGGTACAACCAAAACCACCGACGAAATCCTCCACAAAAGTAGTTGGGAGTGCGTCGGAAAGGCTGAATTCCAAGAAAGAAAATGAATGGCTCCAAAGACCGTTCCAATCGTGGAAGACAGCTCTTGAACCAATAGCGTCTTGTCCCCTCTGAGTTCATCTGCAGAGAAAGTCGAGACGTGATTAGCTTCATCATGGATGCGTTCATCGTTCAACAACTCCCAGAGCGGCCACACAATTATGAGGAATGGTTGCTTCATCAAGCGTTCCCATACGGTCATGTACCACGGGCGGCTGCTGAAATCGCGCTTGAGAGCATGAATCACAACGAGAAAGGCCGCTTTCCACCTCTTCGTCATTCCCATTCGCGGCTCCCTAGACCCCGATATCGCCAGATCATCTTCGCAACTCCCTCCTTTCGGTACGTTTCCGTCATTGTCTGCTGTCGGTGTAGCTGCAGGATGAGGAGGTGATTCCACGGCGGTTTCGTCCTCATTCCGCTCCCGTCCTTCCCCAGCTTCATCTGGCTTCGGTATAGCTGCAGCCGGAGAAGGCGAATCAACATCGGATTTGGTTGGCAAGTCGGTTTTCTTGGGTCGAACGGTGATATAGATGGGACACAGGACATTGAGGGGTTTATACCACCACAATCCGTATGTGATGATGTTGAGAGTGGCGAAAGCAAGAGTCACCACCTCGAGTTCGATCAAGGGGAGTCCCTGGTGTAGACGTGCCATGCATTCGAACACGAACCACGTCGTCTGGAATGCCACAAGGCCTTTGGACAGGATATCGCCTTTACTTTTATCCTGAATCTCCTTTTCCGTCAGTTGAAGTTCTTCGATGTCCAACTGGCCATTCCTCAGGAGTTTGATGAGCGTAAACGGATGAAGAACACGTTTATCGTCTTTTCGTCCAAAGCCGCCCATCTGTGCGAATTGGCCGTGAGTATGAGTCCACTTCAAGCCTACTCATTCATCAGATAATCGGCAGAATTGTGTAAGAGTTAGAGCTTACTCGGTTGGACAACATTCACCCAGCTCACTACCTCTCTTGCCCCAAACCACTGGCGCATGGCCCACCATATTATCAGCTCGGGCGCTATCAACGCGTAGAACGTCACTTTCGTCGTGACCCTCAATCTTCCCCAAAAGGACAGCGTAGGATCAGGAATGTTCTGATGAATGGCTCGATAGACACAAGCGGCGATGGTGACAAGGCAACTTCGAATGATTTCGTATGTGGTCCGTACATCTGCACCAGCGCAATCACCGCGGGATTGAACCCCGAAGACGACGGTGTGGATAGTGGTAGGGATAGTGACGGGACTAGTAGAGGTGGGCGCTGCGCCCACCCGCATAGACGCAAGGACAGCTGCAAGCAGGATGGTGATCATCTTGGGCTGGACGTCATCGGTAAGTTGGTCTTCCGTCGATATGGAAAGTAGAAACTCACTACTCTGGGTATTGTGAGAACAGGAAAAAAGAGAGCATGGGACATTGCCGTATGCAACGTGGTTTCAATGTGTCTTGGCGTAGGCGCTGGAACGATAACACCGCCTCCGCGCGGGCTGTTGAATCAACTCAAGATATATACACCGCGACGAGATTTCCAACATTACGAAATGATACTTTATGTATTCAGCCGTAAATATCTAGCTTGACATGTTGAGAGTTGGTAGTGACCGACGACATTGGGTCATACACGAAATCCTTCAACTGCGAAGGAGACAGAAACTAAAACGATAAGTATAACGATCAACCGACGAGAAGTGAATAACGGACCTGCCCCGACGTAAAACCTCTCCTCGTCGACTTATCACTTCAATCCACCGCATATATGCGCCTTTTGACCCGGCGCCTACGCAAACTCCGAATGACACGACATTGAGAGAAAGGCTGAGAGATGGACGCCACGGTAAGATAGTGAGGAGGGGATATGAAAGGTAACATACGAAATGTATACGTCGCCCTTCCTTCAGAATTTCCAGTTAAAGTTGCGTTCAAGGACTTGCGGCCTTCATGACTTTCCAGACGAATTGAACTGTCGGATTCTATTGAAAATCAAAGTCAGCGAATAATACCAACAAAGGCAAGGTTCAAAGAAAGGGATCGAGGAGAGAGAATGACGCATACAAGCGTATACAAGCATCCAGGAGGATTGGGAAATGCAGTGGGTGGAAGGACAGGATAGAGGTCATAATGAAGTGGTGGGGAGGGGACATGAACCGCAAGTAGGACTTACTATACAATACGGAATTCAGAACAAGTCACACCCCGTTTCAAATGGTGCACGCCCAAGCCCATCCATACGCTCGAATCACAGCCTTCATTACGGCCGCATACACTCGTAGCAACGAGCCTGGACTTGACCAGTAGATGAACGGCGTCAGTTGAGATCTACGAAAGACGGTTGTCAACACGAGTCGAGAGGACGAGAGGGACCAGTCAGGCCTCTCAAAGAGTGAAGGATGAAACGGAACAGAAATTGCTTACCACCTCTTTCGACCAATCATAACTTCCAACCCATCCACTCAAATCCGTTCCGGCTCTGCAACTCTTGAAGAGACTTTGCTCATGGGCGGGCATAGGCTAGATATAGAACATTACTTTCCCGTCAAACAAAAACGGTCAGAGAGCTTACGTTTGCAGCGTACATCAGCATGTCACCTAGCAGCTCGGTTCCCCGTCTGGACGATGGATGTCGAAAGCACTTATTCTGCCCCCAGGTCGGAAAAAGTCTGAGTGAATATGAAGTTGGGTGATGTCCATCTGAGAATCCGAGGTGAGAATCGCACATACCATGTTTTCCAAGCATCAATCACGATGGGGAGGGAGTAAAGGATCCAGTGGGAAGTGACGAAGGATCAAAAAGCCAATTCGAATTCTCGTTGTTTGTCCCAGGCCCTGATGCCAAATATGGCGCCGGCCCGGATTTCGTCTGCTATCCGAGTCTTCGTCCTGCAATTCACAGTTGTATAGCTTGCGTTAGCCATCGACGTGCACCCGGCAATTCCATAAGCTTGGGATAAGTAATGAAAAGGTATTCGGGGACATCACTGCCCGGACTTTTCTTGTTTGTTGGAGCTCTCGAGATCCACCACCGGATGTACGTACAATCCCAATCCAACGCTTCCGACTTGCGGAGAGTGTACAAGACTAGAATATGGAGTGCGACAAAAGCTGGTGGACGTAAAGTGATAGAAAGAGAAAGCCTATGCGAGTTTCCAGACAAAGAATAAACGAGAAACGAACCGACTAGATATGTGGGATATAAGAAGTCCAAGAAATGTCAATAAAGGCTTCACGGGGAAGATCGTGAAGTGTAACGAAAGCGAGAATGAGAATACAGAAACGAGCAAGGATATAGGGGATAGGGCCAATGTAGAATGCAACTTTCTCGAAGAACTTGGACATGGTTTCGGTGATTCGTACCAATGACTTATGGTAAATGTAAACGAACGCAACTCTGAGAATGAGAATAAAGGGGACAACAACCAAGATGGTGGACGAAACCCTCCACAGAAATGATTCGGCATGTGTTTGAGATGTAGAGTGCCACGAAATAAAATGAATCAACCCGAAGATTATCCCAATGAATGGACTTAACGCTTGGATGAACGTACTTTCGTTTGAACCATGGTCCATGTATTCTGCATGGTGTTGGTATTATCAACTCCGGCATAGTTACCTTGTAGTGTAGTTGTATTGTGCTCGTATTCTAGTAGATTCTATAGTATTGTATTAGGTTACTAGGTTACACACTATTGTATTATGTAGTATATAGGTTGGCTACTATCAGCCTAATACGACGTGACAGTCCTCCCACCTCTGCGCTAGATGAACTGCTAACACATGGAAGGTCGACATGTGCGTAGCGTCGATCGTGTCGGTCTTGTCGAACAGCTCCTTGAGCGGCTGAGCTACTACCATAAAGGGCCATTTCATCAACCATTCCCATACCGTCATGTACCATGGCCGACCCGCGAAAGTGAGCTTGATGGCAGCAATTCCCCTCCGTATTGCTGCTTTACAAATACCCACTACTCCCGCGGGTGTATCGCGAGTTCCCCCCGTCGTCTCCTCCACGCTTGTTGTTCCTATCTGCTCAAAAGCAATTCCGCCGGAATTCGACGTAGCGGGAACCAGAGAGGGTAAATCGGCATAAGAATCCGTTGGTGTATTCGAGGTTATCGTTGGAGCCAGTGGTCGGTCGGGTCTTCGACAGCCAACATGAATAGCAATGGGACAAAGCACATTGAGGGGTTTGTACCACCAAAGTGCGTAAGTAATGACGTTAAGAGTCGCAAAAGCGAGGGTGACGACCTCGAGTTCAATTAAGGGGAGTCCGTGGTGTAGACGAACGATGGACTTCAGGACAAACCAGGTGGTTTGGACAGCGACAAGACCCTTGGATAACGCATCGCCTTTACTCTTGTCATTGATCTCCTTTTCCGTCAAT